CTTCGTAACTTGATTTTGCTCCTGCTCAGGACAGCCCAGATTGGGATGCTTTTTTGTTTCCGTCCAGCGCTGGTAAAAATCGGCCAAAATAGATGGTCCAAAATCTTTTTTTTTTAGTCTTCCTTGGTTAGAGGCAATGGTTTTTATTAAATTCATTAAACTTCCTAGAATTTGTCAGTGAAAATAAAACTATAAATTCGAAGGGGGATTAGAGGATGTAAGTAAAAAAAGTGAACAAAGCCCTGCACTGGGTGCTCAGCACTGATTTTGTTTTTTGCAGTGCGGAAGCTAAAGCTTCGTCAACATCGCAAAAGAAGAATCTTGGCAATCAGGTTATCCGAAAGGGATGGCTCTCAGTGCATAATATTTCTTTTGTGCGTGGATCCAGAGATTGCTGGTTTGTGCTTACATCGGACAGTTTATCGTGGTATAAAGACGACGAAGTATGTGCATTTTTTCTTTTGTTTTAACCAGTTGAATGAGGAAATTTCAATTTCTGGTTATTTTCATTGCTGTGCGAACGAGGAGAGAATGGTTGACCGATGCCTAGTGCAAAAACAGATTCTTTTAAGCAAACATTTGACTTGCTTGGTCTTTTACTTGATCATCTAAGTACTAGGATGTCTTTTTTCATGCGTTGCTGTGTAACAGCAGTACAAAACGCATATTGTCACGGAATTGTCTGTGTGTGTATGCGTGTGTGTGTGTGTGTGTGTGTGTGTGTGTGTGTCCGCAGCAACTTGTCCGCAACTTTCAACTCGGGGGCCACAAAAGCTAGAAAGCTGAAAACTTAGGGGGACCTTCCCCACCCAGGTGTGACCCCGCAAATTTAAATTCAGCTTTCTGTACCCGCGGTAACAGGTATGGCCTCGTAAAAGTTTTGACGGGTAAAATTATTATCACGGGAACCACGGAAGCTAGGAAGCTGAAATTTTGTGGGCGTGTCCCCTGCCCACACGCGACCCAGAAGATTTAAATTCAGCTTTCTGTTACCCGCGTGTAACACGAACGGCCCCGAGGAAATTTTCGCGGATAAATTATTATCTCGGGAACCACTGGATATACGAAGCTGAAATTTTAGTGTAATAACCCCCTGCCCACGCTCTGCCTTGCCTTTTCAAATTCAGCGTTCCCGCGCTTCGAGTATCACCAAAGGCCTCCTGAAGATTTTGGCGAGGAAATTATTATCTCGAGG